ACCAGCTGCGGGTGCCTTCACGCACTGCTGGCCGCTGCCCGCACACCTGCCTGCAGCCATGCTTCCCGAGGTTCCCTGAGCGACCTGCACAGCCGGGTCACCGTCAAGCAGGCGCCGGGAACGTCTCCGGATGTGAGCCTGGTCCAGGAGCGGGAGGAACAGGACACCTCGGGGCTCCCGCCACCAGAGACGGTGAGCCCCCAGAAAGGCTCCTCCTGGCTCGGCTGGAGAGTCTGCAGCTCTGTGTGGCTGGTCACTCATGTCCCCTGGGTGCCTCGTGGCACCACTGGGGCATCCTCACAAGCAGGGTTTAAGCCTCAGGACTGTTCTCTCCTCCCCAGCCCCCGCCTCCCATCTCCAGAGACCACATCAGGAGCTGGGATCACAGGGGGTCAGAAGTTTCCTGAGTTGGTGGGGTCTGTGGCCAAGGCACGTTGTACCCCAATTATCTTCATTCTCTCCCCATAAACTGTAGAAATATGGGACACGCTGCTCTGGCCACATCACGTGAGGCTGGCCGGTGCTTTCCTGTCTCCATGAGTAACAGCCCAGCCAGAGCCCTCCCACGAGAAGGGGGATGTGTCCCTGCACCAGATTTCACAGCAAGTGCCCTCACTCGGAACCCACAGCCTCCTGACGGGGCTGCACTGGGCGGGGGGCAGAGGCGGCCGGGCCCACCTTCCTGAAAACCGCCCGCAGTAGGCACTCCCAGGAGCCTCTGTGTGGCTCCAGCCCAGCCTTTCGGTAAGTTCAGGGGGAGGAAGGCGATGCCTGGGGTTGGGCATGCGGGGCTGCGGGCAGGAGGCGGCCTGGCCAGTGAAGGGCAGAAATCCGCCCGAGACAAAACCAGGCCCCGGGCGCCAAGAGAGGCCGGGGTGCAGGACAAGGGCTGGGACAACCCCACTCGAACGCCACATCGTGCCCACTGGGACAGACGCCCCCAGCTCAGGGGACTGCATGCCCAGGGGGCAGGCCTTTGCTTCCTATAGAGGGCTGTGCCCGTCTGTCGCCTCAACCTTTGCTTCCTGACGATCCGGCAGCCTGACCAGGTGCACACTTCACAGAGGCTCCACGGACCCCAGCCGTGAGCGGGGACCCAGCCCTGGGCCACGGACAGCATCACCAGGAGCCCGGATCTTACGGCATGGAGGACGTTTAGTCCCAAATGCCCCTGGTTAAGTCACGAGTGGGACTTGCTATTCCACCGCAGGTTGGCCAAGCCAGATCCCCACCCTCCCCCCACGCCTGCCCCCTCCCAGGCTGGGTGCCTCAGCCACAGCCAGTGGCCATCCACGTCCTCGGCCACAGCAGCCAAGGAGGGCAGACAGAGGCAACGGAAGCCGTAGGGAGCAGCTAGGGGCGTGACAGGGTCTTCATTTTCCAGTACGCTGGGAAAACACTTAGACAATAAAATCTACTCACAATGACAAAAATAGAGGATGTGCATGCACAACAGCCTAACAGGATAACTGTGCGAACAACACATGATAAACACAATAAAATGTGAGCGATTAATATGAAAATATATGACAACATTTAGATAAAAAGATACTAGGCCTCTAATAAGGTAACATATCAACTTTCTCCTAATCTTTACATGTAATTCCTACCCAAATTTCATGTTTATTTTGATCTTGACAAGATTTATGTAAAAGCTCAGTTGGAAAAATAGGTGAGGACAGCAGCTACCTTATAAGAGCAGGGGGCAGGAGGGGGCAGCTTACTAGGGCACGCGGGGCGGGGGCGGGAAGCCAGGGCAGACGCCTGGGTCCCCGGAGAGCGGCCCAGGGCGGGGAGCTTGCCAGGAGCGGGGCTACGTTACCGATGGAGTGAACAACGGTTCTCCAGACCGGGATTTCCTTTGTTCCGACTGAACACAGCAATACGGGTATTACAGCAAGGGCGCCGTTTGACTCACGAGCCCCTGGGGGAGAGCTGAGGCTGGGGCAGGGGGCAGGCGGAGGGGGCGATGGCGCTCGGGGGGGGGGGACAGACTGGGGGCGGGGAAGGGTCAGGGTGGGCGCGGGAGGGGAGGTCCAGGACGGGGGGCCAGAGGGGGCCGGGAGGAGAAGCGGGGGGCGGCTGGGCGCGGGGAGGGCTCGGGAAGGGGTGCAGCCCGCAGACCCCCCCCCCACCGCGGAAAGGCGGTGTGCCCAGCCCTCGCGTGTCAGCGGGGGAAGCAGGGCCGCCCCTCGCCCGGGGGCCGCAGCCCCGCAGAGGCGGGCGCTCGGGGAGGAGAGAGAAGGGCCCCTGCCCAGCAGCCGGGCCGAGGCGCGGACACAGGCCCCGCGGGTCACACCGCCTCGAGGCCCCGCTCTTACAACCGCGGCGGGCACCGCCCTGCCGCCGGCCCGCTCACGTGACCCCCCCGGCCAATCAGAGTGCCCCAGCACCCCCGCGTGATCGGTGGGCGTCGCAGCACGTGGTCGCACCCAGCCAATCAGAGGGCTGCCAGGTGTGAGCCCTGCGCGGGTTTCCGTGAAGTTCGGCCGCCGCTGCCCGTCTCCTCCCACCGGACCTTCCCCCGTGTGGCTCGCCTGGACTAAGGTCGCTGGCCCCCCGAGGCCCCAGGCACCGCAGCCGGCGCCCGCCAAGGTCAGCCGTCCCCGCGGTGGCGCCCATCTGCCCCACCTGCCACCTGACCCGCTGGCTGGGGCGCTCGGGATCCCCCGCCCCCACCCAGGCACCGGGGCTCGGGCGGCGGGCAGGGGTCCGCGGAGTGGCCGCTCCCGGGCGGGGACAAGGCCTCTCCACGCGCAAGCGGGGGTGCCGTGTTCTCAGCAGGTGGACTTCCACCACCAGCTTCCACTCTCCCTGGGACGGGATTTCTCCAGGAATCAGGAATTTGGGAGGGAAAGGGGAGGTGGTGTTTTAGTGAGGGCCAAGTTTCGGGTTTACTGGACGAAGGGGCGAGGTGGATGGAGGTGGATGGAGGTGGTGCTCGCACAGCCGTGTGAACGTGCGCCAGGCCCCTGACCTGCGCACCTACAATGGTTACAATGTACATTCTGTATTTTGTGTAACTTCTCTCTCTCTCTCACTCACACACACACACGCACACACACACTTGTAAAAAACTGAACCAAAGACAATAAGCAGTCTTTGCACCCAAGGAGCAGATACCGCAAGCTTAGATAATCCATTTTCGGGACCTACTGCTCCAAAGGGTGGAGCAGCCAAGGCAAAGAGCCACTGCTGGGAAGGGACTGTCACATCAGACACACCAAGTTCTCTGCGTCCATTCACTGGGAGACATCAGGGAGCTCTGGATATTTCTACCCATTCGACTCTCAGAGTCATTCCTACAAAGCCAGCCTTCACTGTGGTGCCCACGGGTGGCTGGGCCTGTGTAGACATCTGAAATAAGGCCACGTACAGAGAGAGGCACAGGTGGGCCAAGCCACACACGTGGAGCCTGCTTTCTGCAGTTGTGGGGAGCTCCCCAAGCCCATTCCTTCCCCGGTGGGGTCACTGCCCTCGCCATCGGGAGCAGCTGGAAGGACCAGAGCCCACCCCGCACAGGGCACCCCACAACCGCAGCCCAGAGACCCCGAGGCCTAATTAGCGGCCTCATTAGGGAGCAGGAAGGAACCCTCCAATTACACGGCAGCTTGCATCTAAGGACGAAGTCTCAGCGCGGCCCGTGGCTTCCTCTCTTTACCTCACGCCCCGCAGGGCTCCGTTTCCGGGACCCTGTGGCCAGCTGGCTCCTTAAAGCCGAGGACTGGTCAGAGGAGCCAGAGCCCTGGGGTTCTGCAGACACTGTGCGTGTGGGGGGTGCTGCTCAGCAGTGCAGTGGGGTGGTAGGGAAGGGGAGGGGGCGGGGGACAGTGAAGTGGCTGCCCCAGGTCCGTCCCCAACACTGCTCCTCAGCCCGTTTCCACATGTCTGCATGACTTCTGGGTCCCCATAGAAGCCAGTCTTGAATCCTGGTCGGGGCTAGTGCCCCCCAGTACCTAACCCTAAGCCCCACCTCGTCTACCCCTCGACCTTCCCCATGCCCTGTGGCCCCAGCAGACAGAATCTACACTCAGGAGAAGCAGGGAGGGCAGAGGTCAGCCTGACCGGCAGATGTTAAAAATACTCTCTCCTTAATGAGAAAGTGCTTGAATGAATCCCTGCAAGGGAGGAACTGCTCTGGGACTCTCAGGCCTCCGGGAACCTGGGGCACGGCTCCCCCACAGCTGTGTGGAGAGGGGGCCAAAGGCCTCATGTGCCAAGCCTCCTGAGCTGCTGAAAAGGAACTATCCATTCAGAAGCATCCACTTACAACAGACCCATCAAGGCAGAGTCCCGAGAGCTAATTTTAACCTTCCCAGAGTGCTTGTTAAGCTTCTTTGAGTTATAATTACCCCCAATCTCTAGACATGACAAGGCAGCAAGCAGGAAGTTAGATGCAGACAGGAGAGGATGGAGGGGCAGGGGGCGGTCTCCACGCGGGCCCGACTCGAGGACCCAGCAGCATGGCTGTCCCCGGTGAGGCCACGCCCCGCCGCACCCCAGTCCCGGGTGAGGCCATGCCCCGCCGCACCCCAGTCCCGCCGTCTGCCCCCGGCACCCCCCCACCCCTGGGCTCCAGTTGCAACAACGGTGTTGGAGCATCACAGTGGCTCCCAGACACTGGATTTCCGCTGCCACCCCCCCGCCACGGCAGGAGATTTAAGACGCTTCCCTTTGAGGCCCCATGTGGGCTCCTGTTTGGAAGGAATGTCGCTCTGCTGCAGGGACCATTGTCTCTCTAGTGCATGTCAGGGTCTTGGTCCTGCAGAGCCCAGAGCCGTGCCGTCTGCACCCTCAGCTCCCAGATGAGTTACAAGCCCCCCAAAGACCTGGACTGAAGCCCCTAGTGCTCCTGACCAAGGCTCCCTAGTGCCTCCGACACCCCCACATCGCCAGCTTGTCCACCTCGCCCACTGACAGGGACACGTGGGGGCGGCCTCTCCAGAGCTGGTGGGCAGAGGGGATGGTCCCGCATGGCCTCCCTGCTGGCTCTGCCTTACCTTGCCGAAGCTGCCCTTCCCGATGGCCCGAAGGATCTGGAAGTGGTCGAAGTTCACTGCAGAAAAAACAGAGGGATGCCCGTGAGGCGGCAGAAAGCCCCGTGTCCTCCACAAGCCCCTCAAGCCCCCCTGCCAAGGCCGCCCCCCACCACTGCAGGGGCCCCCTGCAGCCCCAGGCTGGAGCCCCGCCAAGGCCGCCCCCCACCACTGCAGGGGCCCCCTGCAGCCCCGCAGTGACCCACTTCACCCTGGAAGTGGGCCTGGGTGCTGGCTGGAGGCTGAAGTCGGGCTCACGTGCAAAGCAGAGAGAACTTGAGCCAAGGGAGAGAGGCGGGTCCTACGGGCCATGCTGTCCCTTGTTCTGGGCTCCTTTTGTGGCCAGGCCAGGCCACCGTGCCCACTGATCCACAGACAGGATGGGGCATGAACAGAGCAAATGGAGCCCAGAGCAGCCCTTCTTCAGTCCTAGGCACCCAGACACCCCCTTCCTGAAAGCTGCCCCCCAACGCATGAAGCCTTGCAAACAGGGGTCCCCAGGGTCCCAGGGTGTCTGGAGCCTTGGAAACAGGCCACCCCACCCTCCCGCTGAATCTCCTGGGGGTGGTCGCCCTGTGTGGCTCATTGACTGAGCTAAAGGGGAGCCTGCCATGGTCCCAGGATGAATAATAGGGACTTTCTGAGGGGCGGTCCTGGACCCGTAGGGACCACAGGTGAACCATCCAAATCCTGCTTTCTATCAACTTTGTCCAGACACGAGCCCCTCCCAGAGAAAGGGCTTGTTGGAAATCACAGCCTCGCTAATTGTCACAACCCTCAGGAAAGACGCTCCCTGCCATGCACCACGGTACCCTGGGGGGCATTAATCTGTGAGTGAGAGCAGCTCGGAAGCGCTTTCCGGGGCCCCTGCTTCTGCTCTGAACCTGATGCCTAACTTGAGTTTCCTTCCCTCTTGCAGCTCTGTGCTCCAGGCAGCCCCAGCCAGCCCTGCCTTCCACGCCTGCCCCCTCCCTGTCCCGGGACGGGGCTCCCCCAGATGACTCTCAGGCCACTTGGCTGGGCCCCACCTGGGCCCCAGGTCTGCACCCCCCAGGTCTGCATTCCCAGGTCAGAGCCCCTCACTCCCCACGCCCGTGACATGGCCACCACATGGCTCTTGTCCTTCAGGCTTCGAAGTACCAGGCAAGCCCAGTTCCGTGTGCCCTGGGCACCTGTCAGAAACTGGGGTCTCCAGAGGCCCATGAGCCTGCAGCCTGGGCTGTCCCTACAGGGAGTGGCCATGAGGGCCGTGGCACGCCCACCCCAAGAACGAGAATGGCACGCTGAGCCTGAAGAGGGCATCTGCGTGCGAGCCCAGCACCCGGTGCTGGGGGTCCAGCCCAGTGAGCCCCGGAGAAGAAGTTAGGGTTAGGCCAGCATGGTGCTGGGCCCCGAGTAGGGGCACCCTTGGGCCAAGGGTAAGCAAGGGGGCTCAGCCACCAATCACTGTTTTTAGAGAAAGGCACAAATCCCAGACTTGAGGTCCTTCCGGGAGAGGAACAGAATGGGAAAACAGGAAATAACAGGCCAGAAGTACAGGAAATCCACACCATGTTTCTCCCTCCAGTCTTATGCTCTGGACAGTGAAGTAATCATGGTGGGCTTCCTGGATGGAGAGGCTGAGGGGAAGAAGCATTTGGAGATCTGCCTGGAGCAGCAGAGCAGGCAAGCACTGTGGGCAGCTGCGGCCTGGGCTCCACACTGGCTGCCCGTGGCCTTTCCCAGGCCTGCTTCCGGGACAGGGAAGAGGGGGCGTGTAACCCACTGCACGGCACCTTGGGTTCTGAGCCGTCCCCACTTCCTGAGACCCCAGGGTTGGGGGACGCATGACAGACTCCCAGACAGCAGACAGCATTGAGCCGGCCACGAGGAAGATTCGCACGGGAGACACAGGAGGGACGGGAATCCCAGCCGTAGCTGCCGGACGCCGTGAGGCCGGCGAGCCGGGAGCAGTGTCCGGGCAGGCCCAGGGCGGGGCTGGGCGGGCATCCCACCGGGGCCAGAAGCTGTGAGAGGCCATCGCGGGGGGTGTGGGTGGGGCCCTGACCACAGTGACCCTGCTCAGAGGAGCAGCTGGCCCGGACGCCGCCAGAGGAGCCTCACGCCCCACTGGGTAACCAGAGTCACTCTGTCCTCTGGTGACTGGAGGCTCCTCGGGTCACCCCATGGACCGGCTGCTCCTCCCTGGCGCCCAGGCCCCCGTCACTGTGTGCAGTGTGCACACACATGCTCACAGTGCTCGCACGTGCTCCTGAGCCCCTCCAAGTGGAACTGAGAACCAGCTGCTGCTCTGGGGCCCCTCCCCACATGTGGGCCCTGGATCCATCTGGGCAGGACTGGGACCTCCCGCCCCACCCCCGGCCAGCGTCAGCCACTGTCAGCCTCACCGCGGCTCCCCCAGGAGGGCATCCAGAGGGGCGGCGAAGAGGACACGTGCCATAGGGGTTTGTTGGAGCAGCTGTGGACGGACGTGGCAGCGTGCGCCGTCCTGTGATCGGCGGCTGTGCAGAAACCCACGCCGCACACACCACCGTCCAGAAGTCCACGGGGTTCCGTAGAATCCGCGTTGGAAAAGTTTGCAGAGTTCCCCCAAACACTGAGCCCAGGAGGAAAGACTGGGGCCCCGAGGAGCCCGCAGCCTCCCCGATGCGCGAGGAACACAGCAGCAGCACGTGGGGGATGGGGCCCCACGCAGGGGGCTGGGCTTGGACCATGTTTGCTGAACCCGGACAGTGGCTGCAGCCATCAGGTAGATGGAGCCCAGAGTGGCGCTGGTTCTTGCCCTGGTGGGGGGACTGCAGTGTCCCGGGGGAGCCGAGCCCAGCGGCCTGTGAACACCCGTTGGGGTCGGAGCCTCGAGCCCTGCCTGTCTGCCCCACCCCCACCCACCCTAGCTCGACAGGCCCCCACTGGGTGTGCAAAGCCTCCGGCCCAGCTCCTGGCGGGGTTGAGCCCATGCCCTGGAGGCCAAGCTGCTGTCCCCCACGCAAACCCTCTGCTCCCCACAGACACAGGTCACCACCCCTGGTCCCTGGGGGTCTGCACCCTCTTGTCCTCTGGGGACACCTGTGGCCCCAGAGGGCCCTGCTCTCCTGCACGTCGCACCCGGGGGCCTCGGCACCCCTACCCTGCAGCGGGCACTCTGCTTCTCTTAGGCCTTTTGGGGCTGGGCCTTGGCACCGTCTGAGTGAGGGCTCTGGTCACAGATCTGCTCAGGAGGCTGGGCCCCCCTGAGGGAGCCAAGGTCAGAGGCTGCTGCAGGAACCACAGGCCAGGTGGGTCCTGGGCCCTGGAAGAAGGTGGGGAGGGGCTCCCCAGGCTGGACACTCTATTGTGGGGGACAGACTCCAAGCCAGCAAGCAAACATGGGGCCTGGGGGAAAAAATCAAGCAGGGGGTGGGACTGCTCCAAGGCCACTGGGGCCAGAGATGAGGTCGTGAGCTGGGAGCACCGGGCTTAGGGTGGCCCCGGCCAGTCGGCCGCACCCTCACACGTGCCATGTCACTGTGTGCGCTGCTGTCACGCTTCCCCGTGTGAGTCACCTCCGCCATCACAGGGAACGGGTAATCCTGCCACCACCGTCCTATCTGCCGTTTCCGTTCCTCCTTCTCAGAAATCTGAGCGCCGCAGGACGGCGCCGTGGAGGCGGGGAGGCGGCCAGCCCCGGGCGCAGCCTCGGCCGGGCCTCCTGCCGCACGCGCAGCCGCGGGGCGCACACAGGCCGTCCCGGTACCGCTGCATATTTAAAACACAAAGGTTTAAGAAAATTTATTCTTCAAGGAAGGCTTTTATTTTGTCGAGGAGGCAATCGCAAAGCACCGCCTTGCTACGAAAGTAGGTCATCTCGGGCGCCTTCGGCTCAGGTCCTGATCTCACGGTTTGTGAGTTGAAGCCCCGCAATGGCCTCTGTGGTGACAATCCAGAGTCTGCTTGGGATTCTCTCTCCCTCTCTCTGCCCCTCCCCTGCTCAAGCTCGTGCACTTACTCTCTCTCGAAATAAACTCAGGGGCGCCTGGGTGGCTCAGTTGGTTAAGCATCCGACTCTGGCTCAGGTCATGATCTCACAGTTCCTGAGTTCAAGCCCCACGTCAGGGTCTGTGCTGACAGCCTGGAGCTGCTTTGGATTTTGTGTCTCCCTCTCTCTGTTCCTACTCTGCTCGAGCTCTTTCTGTCTCTCTCAAAAATAAATAAACACTAAAAATATTTTTTAAAAAAAGAAAGAAAATAGGTCATCTTGGTGCCGACTGATGGTGAGTGAAGGGAAGTCTGCTGTTTCCCAGGTGGCGGAGCCAGGGCCCGGCCTCCCCAAGGGCTGCTGGCCAGCTTCGCGGTCAGGAGCCCAATGATCCTGGAGCGACTTTCTCCAGTGGCCTTCGGGTGAAGTCTGGCACCCAGACCGACCCCCGCAGGGTGTTCTCGAGGCTGTCGTCCGCCACAGGGCTTCGCGAGGAGCCCAGGCACTGCCGGGAGAAAGGCCAGTGCAGCCCACGCTCCCGCAGTTTTGTTTCTTCTGGTGAGACTCACGAAATCCTTCTGGTTTCCCAGTGACCTGACCCGACCTAACCCGCTGGCCTGGCCACTGTCACACAGGTGGCTGGAGGGAGGGGGTCACTTCCCAGAGTGTGACGCCGGCGGCACGCTGGACGGGGGGGGGGGGGTAGTGGAAGCCAATAGGGGGCTCTTGTGCGGCTGCCTCCAAACCTGAAGACGACGTGAGGCGCCATCTGAACACTTCTCCCCTAAAAGTAAGACAATGGTCTGTGGACTGAGGTCAGCGCTGGCCCTCAGGGGGCCCTCAGAGCAATGCGCCCAACAGCAAGGTCTTCGCGCAGCTGTGAGCCCCGTAGATTCATAAGCCAGCGGCCCAGCCAGGACAGGGGGAGAGAAGGAGAGTCCAGGGCGTGCCGCAGGGCTGTGAGTCACTGCCATTGTCACTGGTGACACAGTGCCCGCGCCATGGGGTGGGGAGGGGGCCGCAGACCCGGAGGCCAGCCTGCTCCTGACGCCCCCAGGGCCCGGC